TTTGATTTCTTCACTGCTGCTTCCATGGGTGTCAATTGTGGATCCAAGTAAAATAAAATCCTTGACAACTTCAATCTTTTCTCCGTTTATCATGATGTTGCTTATTGGTCCAGTTGTGAGGATTTTTGTTTCCTTTATGTTGAGGTATAATCCATACTGAAGGCTGTGGTCTTTGATCTTTATCAGTAAGTACAACGTGGAAACCAGGAAACTCACATCATTACAATGTGTGTGTGGTTCTGGGTCATTTTATTACATGTGTGGAGTTTTGAAACCACCACCACAATTAGGATACAGAACTGTCCCTTCACCACAAAGATCTCTTGCCTTTTACCCTTTCATACCCACCTTCCTTCCCCCACAGCATCCCTAACCCCTGGCAACAACAAATCTGTTCTTTATCTCTATGATTTTGTCATTTCAAGAATGCTGTATAAATGGCATCATGCATACAGCATGTGACCTTTGAAGATTGGCTTTTTTCACTAATTGTAAATTAATGTAAATTTACACTCAGATCGCTGCATGTGGCTAGTGGCGACTGTATTGGACAGTGCAGTTCTGGATAGTTCTGTGAGATTCAGGTGCTGGGGATGATTCGGATGTGATGTGCCTTATAGCTTGGTTGTAAGGATCACAGTCAGAAATTCAGAGCACTTCGCAGCAAGCGACTCTCATTGCTCTCCTGGCCCCCCTCCGGCCCCAGGTCCAGTGGCTCCTGGACAACTACGAGACGGCTGAGGGTGTGAGCCTGCCCCGGAGCACCCTCTACTGCCACTACCTGCTGCACTGCCAGGAGCAGAAGCTGGAGCCTGTCAACGCCGCCTCCTTTGGCAAGCTTATCCGCTCCGTCTTCATGGGCCTGCGAACGCGTCGCCTCGGCACCAGGTGGGCCTGTGAGGCCGCTCCCACCCCAGGTTATTCATAGGCTTCAGCTCCCTGACTGACTCGGGCCCTCACTGGCCGGCTTCAGCCCACCGGCCCCTTGTAGGTCCTCTGACACACCCATCCGCTCCCACCCCAGGGCTTTGCACGTCTTCTCCCTGGTTCCCTGGCCTCTCCCTGACAGCCTGTCCTCCTTCTCTGCTTTATTTTTCTCCTTAGCACCATCCAGCCCACCTTTTGTTTTACTTACTGCCTTTGTTTATGATTTGTTTTTTCCAACACTGAAATGTACCCTCCTTGAGGGCATGGAGGGTAGGGCTGCACACAGTGGTGCTTAAGCAGAGCCTTTGAGTAAGTGAGTTCACACAGGAGGGAACGAGGAGCTGCCAGGAACCCTGTCCTCCCAGCCCCTGCTAACCTCTGGGCTCCAGGCCCCAGTGTAGGAGTCGGCTCATTCATGCCTTCATTCGTTTACTCATGCATAACTCCCTCTGTCACAAGGATGTTAGGAGCCTCCTCAGAGGGTAGGGATGAGGAACAAATGGGTCATAGAGGCAGAGGGCTTAGAACAGCGCCGGCATATGGTAAGCCTGTGTAAGTCTCCAATTGTTGTGACTAGCCATCAAGAAGTCTTTGCCGAGCGCCTGCCCCATGCGGGGGTCAGGGCTGAGGTGTGAACAGAGCCATTGGCTGGTGGGAGCCTCCCCACTCAAGCACCGCTGGCTCTCTCAGGGTGGGGCCTGTGGTCTCCATTCAGCTCCCGAGCAGAGCTGAGACAGAGGTGGTATGGGGCTCCCATGCCCTGCCCTGCCCAGTCCTCACCCTGCGCCTCCCTCCCAGGGGCAACTCCAAGTACCACTACTACGGCCTGCGCATCAAAGCCAACTCGCCCCTTCTGCGCCTGATGGAGGACCAGCAGCATATGGCCATGCGGGGCCAGCCCTTCTCACAGAAGCAGAGGTAGGAGGGGGGCCAGGCCTCACAAGGCGGGCGGGGAAGGGTGGCCCCAGCCATCACCCACCTAGCTGCCCACCCAACCGCCCGTCCTCCTCCAGGCTTAAGCCCATCCAGAAGATGGAAGGCATGACCAACGGCGTGGCCGTGGGGCAGCAGCAGGCTGCCGGGCTGTCAGACATCAGCGCCCAGGTCCAGCAGTACCAGCAGTTCCTGGGTGAGGGCCTCCCTGGTCGGGGTGGGGCCTAGGGAGGGGTTTTTGGCTCCAGGTGCGTGTCCCTGGGCTTGGAGAGACAGACGTGCAGTGGTCCCCCCGCCGTCTTCCCAAAGCATAATGGGTCAGCTCCTTGGGGTAGGGGCTGGACAAGATCTGCTGTAAGGGCCCACATGAGTTTGGCAATACCATTGTCCCTGCCTTGTAAGGCGCTTCCATCCCCAAGACCCTTTCTAAGGTGCATTCCTATTAATTCCAATGGGAGGCATTTCTCTGCATTACTGAGCCCCCACATCAACCCCTTTTATGCTAAAACATATCACAAATCCCACATAAACAGACACGTTCAGTGGGATGGTTCATGTCAACCCCTATATTGTGACATAGTGGGGCCCCCCCTCACAGCGAGAGCCTCCATATGTCTGAGACTACTTACCGAGGTGTGTACATGATACTCAGCATTTCTAGAAATGATTTTCTGAAAAAAGAAGGACCCATAAAGCAAAAACCAATCCACACAATAAGCAAACCCCAAGAACCCAACATGTACCCACCGCACGTCTGTGACGCTGCCCATATGGTGGTTCCTGTCCTGGCCCTTACCTGTCAGTCCTCATAGGTTCATCGTGAGCTGAGGGAGGGCATGAAACCACACCCCTCTATAAATCGAGGGGTGTGCTCAGGGGTGACTGTCCTTGGTTATCGCCCACCTTGGGCCCTCAGGCTTCAGGGCAGCTTCCCTGTGGTTCTGACTGGGACCTGGGGGCCGCTTCCTGTCCAGGTGGGTGGACACAGGGAGGCAGCTTGGACTCAAAGTCCCATGTCCCGGGGGCTAGCCCAGTGCTGCCACTTAGCAGCCAAGCTGTGGCCAGGACGAGCCACTCAACATTCTCTGTGCAGGAGGCACGTGGGCTCTGGAGCCTTCCCCACCCTGGGCCCTCACTTCCTGGAGCCTTCTGGGGGGGAACCCTGGGTCAGGCGCATGTCCTCCCTGAGCCTCAACATCCCCCACTGCACATAGGGGCCACCTACTTGGTAGGACAGTGGTGACCACTTAATAGGATCTTAGGGAAACTCGATGGGGGAGGACAGGTAGGCAATGAGGACCTCATGGTGCCCGGCTCCCCTGTCCCCTCAGATGCCTCCCGGAGCCTCCCTGACTTTACAGAGCTGGACCTCCAGGGCAAAGTGCTGCCGGAAGGTGTCGGGCCCGGGGACATCAAGGCCTTCCAGCTCCTGTACCGGGAACACTGTGAGGTAGGGCCGCTGGGCCAGGTGGGCAGACAGAGGTGTAGCCATGGGCTGGGCAGAACACGCTGCCCCCCAACCCCCCTGAGTGCCCCAGTCTCCCCAACAGGCCATCGTTGATGTCATGGTGAACCTGCAGTTCACCCTGGTGGAGACTCTGTGGAAAACTTTCTGGAGATACAATCTCAGCCAGCCTAGCGAGGCACCGCCGCTGGCCGTGTGAGTCCTGTGGGGCTTGCGGGGCAGGGGCAGTGTACAAGCAGACACACAGGGGTAGGGTAGCCATCTGATCCCAGGCACCTTTAGGTGTGCGGGAGTGGGGGATGCCTGCCCGACCCTGCAGTAGGTGGGGTACGCATGTGTTTCTGACCCCCAGGTGCGCGTGTGTCAGTTCGATGCTCAGTGCATGGGACGAGCGGGCCTGGGCGTGGAGGCGGGCACCATCTCATCACTGGAGTAGGGGGGCACCTGTGCCCATTTGGTCCCAGTGTGATGAGTGTAGGATCCCCGTCTGACTCTTGGGGCATTGGGCACGTTCCCGTCTGACCTGGGAATGTGGGGAGGCATCAAGTGCCCACCTGACCCCAGGTGGGGGTACTCGTGCCTGCCTGACCCTGAGGAGGGGGCACCTGTGCCATCTACCCTGGGATATGGGTGTCTGTGCTTGCCTGACCCCAGTGGGTGGTGCCCACAGGCACGACGAGGCCGAGAAGCGGCTGCCCAAGGCCATCCTGGTGCTCCTCTCCAAGTTCGAGCCTGTGCTCCAGTGGACCAAGCACTGTGACAACGTGCTGTACCAGGGCCTGGTGGAGATCCTCATCCCCGATGTGCTGCGGCCCATCCCCAGTGAGTGTGCGGCTGTGGGCCCTTCCCACACGCCACCCCCTCAGCTCTGACCAGCCCCCACTACTGCCCACAGGTGCCTTGACCCAAGCGATCCGGAACTTTGCCAAGAGCCTGGAGAGCTGGCTCACCCACGCCATGGTGAACATCCCTGAGGAGATGCTGCGGGTGAAGGTGAGGGGTGGGGGCCCAGGAGGTACTTGAGCAGCTGGCTGGGTGGCCTTGGGGCATGGGGCCCTGGGCCTCAGTCTCCTCTACTCTGTAAGACCTCTGCCCATAAAACGTGTCCCCTAGGTGTGTCCCAGGTATGTGCATGCAGGGGAGAGGGAAATTGTCTTTTAAACTCACTTCCTCAGATGCCCGCTTCTGGAACCCATTTGTGGCGTTTCTGTACTTGACACAGCATCTCAAACAATAAAAGCCAAGTGCAGACTGGAATAGTTCTTTTCAGACAGCCTTGATAGAAGGTGCTTTTGGTGTTCAGAAATACATAAAATCTTTAAAAAAAAAAAGACATCTATAAGGGAACAGAATAATAGCCCAGTGCTGCACATTTCATAACCACCTAGACAGGAGGAATTAGGTGGGATGTGCTCGGGCAAAAAAAAGTTGTTTTTCTTTTTTTTAAATTCCTGAAGGTGCTTATATTTATATATATAATGTTTTTGTTAAAAAGACAACCAAACAGATGGGATATCTGAAGGGTCCTCCCTGGTGGGGTGTGGACACAGGGCAGGGGTGGGAGATGAGGAGAGCGCAGGTGCTGGATGCAGGGGGAACCCTTGGGAAAAACAGGTCCTTAGTCACTCGCTTATTCCACATTTATCGAGCATCTACTGTGTGTCCCGGGTGGGTTTCAGTGCTGGGAGCACAGCAGTGAGTACAATGGGCAAAATTCCTACCTTGGAGCTGACCTCTGAATGTGTAACTGAAAGAAAAGTTTACAGAAGCAATGCTCACCTTTTCTAGGCAGTGCCCACCAGTATTTTCTGTTGTGTTCTTTCATTAAAAAACAATAATGATGCTGGTCAGAACACAGTAAATTAACAAAGTGATTTTGTGATGCACACTAGTGGGTGAAAACCTAAAGTGTGACAAGCACTACTCCTTGGGTTCCCAATAAAAGCCATAACGTAGAGAGCATCCCTTCGTTTTTAGAAAAAGAGGAAACAGGCCCAGAGAGGTTGCAGAGGTCACGCAGCCAGAAAAAGGCACCACCTGGGCTGGACCCCCACCTGCCTGTGCTCTCCACGCGGGTCAAGGCGCGCGGAGGGCCACGACGGCCCCAGCGCGTGGGGCAGGGGGTGGCGGGGTCGGTCCCGCGCAAGCCACAAGCCCCCCGGCCCCGCAGGTGGCGGCGGCCGGTGCCTTCGCACAGACGCTGCGGCGCTACACATCGCTGAACCACCTGGCGCAGGCGGCGCGCGCAGTCCTGCAGAACACCGCGCAGATCAACCAGATGCTGAGCGACCTCAACCGCGTGGACTTCGCCAACGTGCAGGTGAGCGCGGGCGGGACAGGTGAGCCCGGAGCCGCAGGTGAGCCCCGGGCGGTGGCTGAGCCGCGGCTCCGCCCGCTGTGCCCTAGGAGCAGGCCTCGTGGGTGTGCCGCTGCGAGGACCGCGTGGTGCAGCGGCTGGAGCAGGACTTCAAGGTGACGCTGCAGCAACAGAATTCGCTGGAGCAGTGGGCCGCCTGGCTGGACGGCGTCGTGAGCCAGGTGCTCAAACCCTACCAGGGCAGCGCCGGCTTCCCCAAGGCCGCCAAACTCTTCCTTCTCAAGTGGTCCTTCTACAGGTGCGCGTGCAGGCGGCGGGCTTGGCGAGGGGCGGAGCCAGAGAAGACCTTGCCTCCTCGACGTGGGCGGGACCAGGGAGGGCTCCTCCCCTCGGGGCGGGTCAGAGGCGGACCCCAAGAGGCCCCTCCTCCCTGAGCCTTGCTGCCCGCCTATGATGGCGGGGCCGGTGGGCGGGGTCTTGTGAGGGGCGGGGACCGTCGCTTGCTCTGACGGACGTCCTTAGGGAGTGCAGGGCGGGGCCTGAGGGTGTTGTAGTTCGAGGGGCGGGCGCAACAGGCTTCACTGGCCTGCACTGTGCTGCGCTTCCAGCTCCATGGTGATCCGGGACCTGACCCTGCGCAGCGCCGCCAGCTTTGGCTCCTTCCATCTCATCCGGCTGCTCTACGACGAGTACATGTACTACCTGATCGAGCACCGCGTGGCCCAGGCTAAGGGCGAGACCCCTATCGCCGTCATGGGCGAGGTGGGCGGGCGGGGAGTGAGGGCGCGGGGCGGGGCGCCTGCGGCGGGATCCTCACCTCCTCTTGTCTCCTCCTCTCCAGTTCGCTAACCTGGCCACCTCGCTGAACCCCCTGGACCCCGACAAAGGTAGGCGGAACGTGTCCCCACCCTGAGCCCGGGAGGCAGGGGGCGGGGGTGGAAGAGGCGCAGGCCAGGTCGCGCCGCTGCCGGGCTCTGAGCCGAGCCTGGTCCGTGTGCCCCAGACGAGGAGGAAGAAGAGGAGGAGGAGAGCGAGGACGAGCTGCCACAGGACATCTCTCTGGCGGACGGCGGCGAGTCGCCCGCGCTGGGCCCCGAGGCCCTGGAGCCGCCCGCCAAGCTGGCGCGGCCTGATGCGCGCGGCCTCTTCGTGCA